AGCAGTTGGACAGGTGTACCTAATAAAGTGGCCGGTGAGTGTATGTTCCACTCCTGCTCGAGTTATTTTCTGCAAACATCAACTAGTTTATATTTTAGCCAGAAACAACTAGTTAGTGGTGTGGGTTAAACAGTTTTAAATTAGTTGTACATGCAGCTCTATTTTGCTTTACTTTTTGTTGTCCTGAAATACAGCGAATATTTTGTGGTTTTAGTTCTTCATCTGCTAGTTATTGTTTTATAAAGTATTGGCTGAATCCTCTTTCAAGTTGGTATAGATGTTCCTACCAATGGTTTGTGCCTTCTTCTTTTTCTTCTTCTTGTGCGGAGCTGTGTCGTGCAAATCTGGGGTCAGATGGTCTCTGTTGTCGGAGTTACTCCTGTTGCTTATATCCTCCATCTCCACCTCCATCCCAACTGCAGCAGAGCGGCAAAGAACAGATGCTGCTGAGTTAAACAAAGCAGACGTGCAGATGGAGCTGCAGGTGCTCCATGCTCACCTTCACCCTGTTCCTCCACTTCGATCACCTCCTTCTTCACTTTCTTCCTCTTGCTCTTCACTGTCGGCATGTTGAAGCTTCCTTGAAAAATAAAAGGGCCAGAGTTTGATCTGGTTTTGTGTGAATAATGCTGAAGACCCCTTATGACTGTTTCCAAGGTCACCACCTTTTTAGAAGATGAACATTTAATGAGGATTTTGAGGTAGCCAGGTGGTGAGGCATGTTAGAGTTAACAGGATTAGCCTGAAAACAGGTGGTGGAGCAGAGCTTTAGGAAACAGATCAAAAAGCACAAACTGTGCACTTTCCATCAGGGTTAGTTTCATAGCTTCATCTGCCAAATCTCTAATATACAACTAGATATTAGATCTGCTCTTCATTCAGTTTGAGAGCCAAAGCCATCCTGTTTCACCTTCACCCTCTAAAGCATCCGATAAAAAGAAAAGACAAAACGTGAATTAATTTAAAGAGAACCAGCATTTCTAAGTAGATTTTCAATGACTTAACATGAATCCTAAGTAAACCTTTTAAGTAACATAGAAAATATAGAAATTGTGAGGTATTGCTTTTGAGGAAAGAAATGCCATTTATTACTGTCTATTTAAAAGGTGTGCTAAGGAAACTGGGAAAATAACCTGCACAATATTTTATTTGTATTAATATTTATCCTCCGGGTCTAATAGAGCCCATATTGGAACGTTCTGGAATGTAGGTCTTTCGCAACGTGTCAAAAGCCACAAATATATTGTGTCATACTTTCACTCTGGCTTTAAAAAGGTGCAAAGTAACAAAGCTTTCACTGTTGCTGATCATTGATCTTCAGCTGGCTGAAATAGCACTAGCAAGGGAGACATTTGTAATAAAGAGACTAAAGGAGTACCACATATCATGGCCATACAGTTAACATTGTTTTAAAGGTACAGCTTTGTAACTAAATGCTCTCAGACAGCCTGACTGTTTTAACTACGGATTACTTATTCTATAAAGAAACAATGAGAAAAATTAATCCATATTCTGTGCAACAAAGTCTTAAATCTCTTAGACCAGGCGTTGGCAACCTTTTAAACCAAAATTGCCATTTTGTCACAAGTCTGGCTAACTTAAAGTCACCAATGATCACAGAACTTATAATAAAATACAACCTATTATTTTCGTTAAGTATCTGCCGCAGGAATTTTTGAACAACCAACAGTTTATATGCATTTTTAGCTTGTGAAACAATGAAAAAACATTAAACAATTCATAAAGATGAAGCTTTGATATTCTTCTTTGGGCTATTATTTGATGTAAAAAGAAAAAATAACATAACACATAATTTCCAAGATGCCTAAAAAAAATAGCTCTGAAAACACGTTTCCTGTTCTTTTCAGTGTCATTCTGTTGTGAGGATTTTATTAAAATATCCATCCATCTTCTGACACACTTAATCCCAAGTGGGGTCGCAAGGGGTGCTGGTGCCTATCTCCAGCTGTCCACGGTCAAGAGACCCTGTACAATCAATTGTTGATTTTAGATTTTTTAATAGGCTACATATGCCTTTTAATGTATTGATTTTAATGATTGTCTTTTTACTCTGTTTTTAATGTTATGGTCTTTTAAACTTGTTTTAATTTTCCCTTTTTTTAAATGTAGCACTTTGAGATTTGAAGTCAAATGTAAAGTGCGTTATAAATAAAATTCATTATTATTATTATTATTACAGGTTATAGCAGGGTAACACAGAGACAAACAGGACACTCACACCTAAGGAGAATTTAGAGAAACCAATTAACATAAAAGTCCTGTTTTTTAACTGTGGGAGGAAGCAGGAGTACCCAGAGAGAACCCAAGCATGCTCAGGGAGAACATGCAAACTCCATGCAGAAAGACTCAGGGCTAGGAATCAAATCCAAAACCTTCTTGCTGCAAGGCAGCACTGCTACCCACTATGTCACTGAGCAGCCCTTTATTCAATTATTCTTTCTAAAAACCACCAAAGCTTCTAAGACCGATATTTTGGATTACATTACACTGGTTAGTTCTTAAGATTTTTTTTAGCAACTATTAAGAGCCATTGTAAAGTGTCCAAAGAACCGCATGCAGCTCCAGTGCAGCAGATTGCAGACGCCTGTCTTGGACTAAAAGGAGCATGTTCTGATGAAATGAAGATGCTTTGGTTCACCTATAACACAGCATCACTGTGTGACAGGAATCGGAACCTGGTATCATTTACCTTTAGGTCGTAATTTGGGGTCCTTCGAGCCTTTGACTCCATTTAGAATTTTATTTTTTCTTATTTTTATTGTGAGCTTTAAGTATTCTTTTTTGTTTAATTTTTTACATTATTAGTGTTTTTCCTGAGGTCTTAAGACTTCATGTTATGGTTTTGCCTTAAACCTGGTATTACTATTTTTATTTGGGTCTGGCCATTTTGGTTTGTTTTTTTTCTTCCGGTTGGCACAAGTAGAATATGCAAACTTATTGCAAACATAATTGATCCAGAACCTTCTTTCTGCAAGGCTACAAGGCTTCTTTCTGCAAGGTTGGGGAGTGGTGACCTAGCGGTAAGGGCCTAGCGCTTGGAATCCCGACGTTCTGAGTTCGAGCCCAGCTCCCACATACTGCCACTCTGGGTCTCTGCACAAGACCCTTAACCCCACATTTCTCCAAGGGCATCCCAAGATGGCAGCCCTCTTATTCCAAAGGCGATGGGTTAAATGCAGAGCTAAATTTCTCCATTGTGATATCAATAAAGTTCAATTATTATTATTATTATTATTATTATTATTACAGCAACCTCCCCAATTTGCAGGCATAGGAAAACACTGCTGTCACAGTATTGAAGGAAGAGGAGAGGCTCTTATTTTGACAAGCTTCAATGTCTTCTTTAATCTGTTTTGAAATGACCTTAAGTCTTTTAATAAAGGGTTACGTTGTAGCAAACGTGAAAAACAGTCAGCCAATGAAAGCCAAAAACTAATCCATCCAGTAAAATATTTCACATCAGGAAACAGACTAGAGGAGCATCAGCTTGTCAGAGGTTTTTCCTGTTAATACAGTGCATTTACCATCCACTGCATGGGAGATATGTTTCTAAAAAGACTAGAGCTCTAAATTATGAGTTTAACTTAGGCCTCAAGCTTTTGGAGGGTGACTATAAGTTAAAGCTGAAGTTTTTTTTTGGTTGTGGCTCAAATACAAATTTAGTGCCAAAGAAAAGCCATGATCATGGTACTGCTTTAAGTTTTAAACTTTGATATAAAAACCACCAGACTCAGTTATAGTAATGTGAGAATGTCATTCCGGCCGGTACTTTCATTAACATTCACAATCAATCAGGTGAGCCTTGAGTGCTAATTGAAATAATTGCCATGGCAAGATACCTTTCTAAATAATTTAAAGGAATGGAAATGAAACTAAACCTTGATAAAACCTGTCTTGCAGTCACGACAAACTGTTATAGCTACACAAAATAAACCCTTGTGTTTCTCACCTGAGCAGCTGCGTCTGTTTGTAGAGATAAAATCCTGCAGATGGTCCCTCTGTGTGTCTGATCTTATCAAGTGTCTTAGAGCTACGCAGAGGAGATAAACTCCTCCTCCTTCACTTTATCTTCCAGTCCTCTGGTTTTGATTTATCCCAGAAAACTCGCCTCTTCCATCTTGTGATGGAAAACTTGTTTCCTATACAGAAGGTGAGGAGTTAAACCACGGCCTAAAGGAAACACAGACACAGGAGGTCTGCACAGCTGATACTCCTCTCAGGGTTTAGAATGGATCATGTGCTGAGCCCTGACAGCTTCTGGAAGCTTTGGGATTGGCTGATCAGATGTGATGTCACCTGTGGACAGCACTGAAATGTAATCATCAATGCTAATCATCCTGCTCTTCACAGGAGATTATTGTTCTACCATGATTTTATTTTATTTTATTTTGTTACATATATATATATATATAAAGGAAGTATATATATATATATATATATATATATATATATATATATATATATAAAATCCTTTTAATCAATACATACTTCTCATGCAGTTAATACATACTTCTCACAGTGTCATACACAGTCAAACATTTTCCATAGCATCCATATTTATGTGGTAAAAATAAATTTTTCATTTTTTGGAGCTGTAAGTGGAAAGCTGTGTGTCAATAATCTGTTTCAGTTAGTGGACTAAGTTTCTAAAATAAATGATATTTTTACATAATGTTGTTGTTTACAGTATATGATCATACATGAATGAAAAAAAACACTAATTATAAATGAACATCAATGAATGGTCAGCATTATGCCAACTGGTTAGAGGAAAATGCAGAATAACCTCGAAAGCTGTTTAGTCACCTTCATAAAGGTTAGGATTCTATTATAAGTGAGGAACTGGGCATGAGGGAGATCCATGACAGACTTCTGCAGTGAAAAACAAAGAAACCCCAAAAAACAAGACACTGCTGTCCAGAAGAAACACAAAAGCCTGCTGTATTTGTTAGAAAACATCAACATCATCCCCCATGATGGAGATATCTGTGACATGTGTGGATCTGTGACATTTGCTGTAAAACTGGGACATTTCAGGAACGACTATCATACCAGCAGTGATGGTTTGACTGTAAGCTGCTTCAGGACTCACCATGGCCGCAGAAACAATCCTGAAGGAGAACATCTTGGTAACAGTTTGGGGTTTTAAGCTTCCACTGGATTCTAATCCAATCAAACTAACGTTACCTTAAACAGGTTGTTTCTGCTCGTTCAGTCTGACTCCACTTGAACCATCATGCCAGGAAAAGGGGGCTGCTGATCTTTCATGACGATGTGAAATACTGAATGTTTTTCTTACCAAAGGTTTAGTCGAAAAATTAAACTCATACATAGAACCAGGTTGTTTCCATTTAATGAATCAGAATCCTCATCTATAAACTTTATTTTGTGTTCATTGAGATTATCTGTGTCTGTCTTAGAGTGTAGAGACAATGAAATTAAACCGTAACCAAATGATTCAAACAGAAGAATATTTATTACAAATCTTTTCCTTTGGAAACATGGAAGTATCATTCAGAGGAAAGTGCCTGAAAGCTTTTGTAAAGAATCGTGAACTTGTAAGAAAGCATTGAGCCAAACCTTCCCAGACAAAATTAACATTTTTATCCTGTTATGAAGTAAAACTTTATTGTTCAAACTATATAGTTGTCACATTTGACCAATAAAATATTACAATGGAAATATCCATAAACTTATAACAAAATATTTTCACATTCTTAAAAAAATAAACACTATATCTTAATCAAATGATGGTACATTATATAAACATGACAGCTATTGCTCAAACAACAGTTTTTACTTTAGAACCTAATATGTTTTTGCCTGATCAAGTTAAATATGGTGTTGATAAGGTTAGAAAATGAACCATTGACCAAACCTGAATAAATAAGCAATCATTTAGAAATTCACTGTAAAATTAACCAAAGCCCTTCTCATCTGTCACTTGGTATGAATGTACATTACCTACAAACAATCTTCCCTGCATGTCAGCAGTGTCTTAGTCAAGTGTTTCTCCTTTCTAACCTTCAAGTATGGAGCGGATGGTTCTGATGGAGGTTTTTTTCCTGTTAAAAGGGAGTTTTTCCTCTCCACTGTCACTGCAAGCATGCTTAGTGTGCCTTGAGATGACATGTGTTGTGAATTGGCACTATATAAATAAACTAAATTGAATTTAATGTAATTCTACGTGTGAAGCCAGCGTTTACTCCCTGGTTCCTGAGCTAATCCTATGAGAGTCACCAGTGTTGCCAAAACAAAATGTAGCATTTGGTATTTTATATTGACAAAACAGCAGATGTTGTAAACACTAGGTGTCCTTTTCACTTATTGTTACTTTAAGCTGTATTTCCTCTTTCTAAAGTTCCTCTGGAATCTCTGGAGAGGATTTCAGCATTATTCTTCATTAATTGAAGAACATTATGGACAACCCTGAGCATCCTCTTCAGAGGACTGTTAAACATGTTTTCACTAAGACGAAGCTTCTCCACGCTGGAAGACAGAAAACAGCATTTTAATTTTGCTGTGATCAGAGAAGTGTGCTTGAATTGGACTGAATTGTCATTTTTGTAATGGAGAGATTTTGATGTTTGTCATCACCTTGGTTGAGGTTGTGGTGAGAAGGAGCTTAAAACACACGGGCATATAAAGGAGGGATAATGACTTCCTTCCAGGTGAGTTGGGAGCTTTTGTAATTGATCAAATGGAAGCCCTCAGCAGATGACCACAAAGATATACCTGGACCCTTGCAGGGTGAAGCAAAGGGAGACTGTCTCCCACTTTAATGTGGTATACTGACTC